TTTTTTAATGTAGAGATAGAGTTTCACTATGTTGCCCAGGCTGATCTTGAACTCCTGGCCTCAATCAGTCCTCCTGCCTCGGCTTCTCAAAGTGTTGAGATTACAGGCGTGAGCCACTATGCCCAGCCCAGTAACTGTTTAGAACTCTAAACCTCCTTCTATTATCTGAAGCCAAATGAATTATGCCTGTCTCTGTCCATGTGCAGATAGTATTGTAATATCATAATATAGGCAGTGCCATGTAGTTAAAAAACATTCTTGCCTCTTCTTGGGAGCCATTGAAATTTGGGACAACTATTTCATCTCTTGGAGTTTGTTTCCTCTTCTGTAAAATGGGGGTAATAATAGTATTTATTTCATAGAATTATTGGGAAGATTCAATGAGATAATTTATACCGTGTTGAATACAGTGAATATAATAATTGGATATTATCATAATTGCATCAAACTTTTATTACAGGCATCTTCAAAATCCCAACCAGATAAGGAATAGAGCTTACCTCACCTCATAGTCATTCATTCTTTTATTTCATATCCCAAAGGACTATCCCTAGGACTATGTTGGCAAACCTTTGGATGCTCAATAAATATTTGCTTAATTGGTGAAATTCTAAAATATCTAGAATTGAACTCAAGGTAGACTTTGTAAACAATACCAGAATGGAGGACAGAGGCATATTCCTTTCTTAGCCAGACCTGGACTTGAGCAAATTGTACATTTAACCTCCTCTTCTTTCCCCTGCCTTTCTCTAAACCTTCAGCTTCCTCTCTGGGGAGCACTGGAGACCTGTCATTACCTCTGTATGATCTGCATTTAAGATCAAGGTGGCCCCTCTCCTAGTTGCATTTGAAGTCTTCTCTAAAATTTTGGAAATTCATTTATCAGTAAGAGGAGATGTCCAGGGGTGGGCACTGTGGGAATTAATCAGATTCTCCAGAAACGAGAATATAGTTGGCTGTGAGATAGCCTTGACCACTAGGTTACATTTCCAAGCATTTTTTGCAGTTAGGTATGACCATGTCACTGAGTTCTGCATGTGGTGCATGTGGGTGGAAATGATGTACACCGCTTCCAGGCCTGGCCCATCCCATATG